TTAGTAGAGACGGGGTTTCACCATGTTGACCAGGATGGTCTCGATCTCTTGACCTCGTGATCCACCCGCCTCGGCCTCCCAAAGTGCTGGGATTACAGGCTTGAGCCACCGCACCCGGCCTGCTTTTTGTTTTAAAATGTTTTCAGACTATCAGAAAAGTTACAAACATAGTTCAAATAATTTTCTTATTCCAGTATACTCGTTTCTCCTTCACTTAATTTGTTTATTTTATTTATTTATTTTATTTTTATTTTATTTATTTTTGAGACAGAGTCTTGCTCTGTTACCCAGGCTGGAGTGCAGTGACGTGATCTTGGCTTACTGCAACCTCTGCCTCCCGGATTCAAGCAATTCTCCTGCCTCAGCCTCCTGAGTAGCTGGGACTGCAGGCGTGCACCACCATGTCTGGCTAATTTTTGTATTTTCAGTAGAGATGAGGTTTTGCCGTGTTGGCCAGGTTGATCTCGAACTCCTGACCTCAAGTGATCCACTTGCCTTGGCCTTCCAAAGTGCTGGGATTACAGGCGTCAGCCACCGCGCCCAACCTCCTTTACTTTTAAATAAATACACTTTTTGACTTAGCAATTCTACTTATGGAAATTTATGATGAGAAAATAATAAAAAATAAGGAGGTATATGTAAATAATATAATTGATAAGTATTTAGTTATACAAATTAAGATGCATTGTAGCATTGTTTTAAAACCAAAACAGATCCACATAAAGACATGTATACTAATGTTCACAGCAACATTATTCATAGAAGCCACAAACTGGAGACAACCCAAATGTCCATCAGCAGGTAAACAGATGGACAGACTGTGATGCATCCATACAGTGGATATACTCAGCAAGAAAAAGGAATGAAGTATTCATAGATGCTAACATATGGATGATATCAAAATAACTGTGCTAAGTAAAAGCCAGACCAAAAAAACAAGTACATACTTATGTTACCATTCATATAAACCTCTAGAAAATGCAAACAAATTTGTAATGACAGAAAGCACATCAGTGTTTGCCTCAGGACTAACAGTTGGAGGTAGAGACACGGGGACAAAGTAGAGTGGAAGGGGGTGGTGATAAGAAAGGGACACAAGACTGGGCACAGTGGCCTCTGCCTGGAATCCCAGCACTTTGGAAGGCCAAGGCAGGCAGATGATTGGGGGTTAGGAGAACAGCCTGGCCAACGTGGTGAAACTCCATTACTACTAAAACTACAAAAATTAGATGGGCGTGGTGCTGCATACTTGAAATCCCAACTACTCGGGAGGCTGAGTCAGGAGAATCACTTGAACCTGGGAGACAAAGGTTGCAGTGGGTGAAGATTGCACCTTTGCACTCCTGGGCAACAGTGAGACTGTGTCTCAAAAAAAAAAAAAAATAGGAGAACATTTGGGAGGCAGTGCTGGTGGATCTTGTCACTGTCTTGATTGTGGTAATGGTTTTGTGTGTATATTCATAAGTCAAAACTTAGCAAATTGTATACTGTAATAATATATACAGTTTAATGGATGATAATCATAGTTCAATAAAGTTCATTTTTTTAAAAAATCCAAAAATTAAAAGTGATAAATGAGGAATAAATTGTGAGAGAAGGTTTTGAATGCCTGGACTGAGACATGAATCAGAAAGAATGTCCATTGGTTAACAGGAGAACAGAGGGGAGACAGGTTGTCAGTAAAGTACTGAGAACATGCTAGTAGTCTGTTCTAACCAATCCTAAAATGTGTCTTAAAGGGATACAAACAAACCTATCACCACAGTTAGGCTAATTAATTTGTTTTCTTTTTTAGGAAAAGCATGCAAGTCTCAATGATGCTGCCCTGTTAGACATCATTTGTAAGTTTTAGTGATTTGTATTTACACTTAACCAATTAGTTTCATCAGAAGCAATTTTATTTCTTTGTTTGTGAGACAGAGTCTCCCTCTGTCGCCCAGGCTGGAGTGTAGTGACACCATCTCAGCTCACTGCAACCTCTGCTCCTGGATTCAAGTGATCTTCCAACCTCAGCCTCCCAAGTAGCTGGGACTATAGGCTTGTACCACCATGCGTGGCTAATTTTTTCTGTTTTTTGCCATGTTTTGCCATGTTGCCCAGGCTGTCTCCAGCTCCTGGGCTCAAGTGGTCATCCTGCCTCCACCTCCCACAGTGCTGGGATTACAGGTGTGAACCGCTGTACCTGATCCAGAAACAATTTTGTACATAAGTCCTCAGATTCTAGAGTCGAGGAGACCTTGTTTCAAATCCCAGCTGTGTCACTTGGCTGCATGTTCTTTGCCAAGTTACATCACCTTTCTAAGCCTCAGACTTCAAGCAGAGATAATAGTACAGTATGTACTTCAAGGATTCTTGTTAGGATTAGATGAGATCATGCCCGAGAAGCTCTTAGCATGGTAACTGGCACATCGTAAGCACAAAGTAAATGCTTGTTAGGCTTTGTATTACTCAGGGTGCCAACTTACAATAGCTCAACTTAACATTTTTCAACTAGTAGGAAAGCAGTATGCTAGTAGGAAAGCAGCAGACATTCAACAGAAACCATACTTCGAGTTCCCATACGACCATTCTTTTCTCACTTTCAGTACAGTATTTAATAAGTTACATTAGGTATTCAACACTTGATGATAGAAGACTTTATGTTGGATGATTTTGCCCAACTGTAGGCTACTGTAAGTGCTCTGAGCACCTATAAGGTAGGCTAGGCTAAGCTAAGATGTATGAAGGGTAGGTGAATTATTTTCGCCTCAAGGTGGATTTATTGGGCATAGCCCGATCATAAGTGAAGAAGAATCTGTATTATTATTACAGCATTTGAAAATACCTTTTGGAAAATTTATTCCTATTACACTGCAGCTTCTCACCTCTCCTCCCTTCCATCTCATTGATTTTTGTCTAGCTTTGCTGTCTGTACTTTTTCAAGATGTCTGTTTTTATCATCAGGAGGCAACGTAGTATAGGGGCTGAGAACACAGGCCTTGGGGCCAGATTTCTTGGGTTCATTTCATGGCTCCATTATTGCCTCCCTGTGAGCCCTGGAGGAAGCTGGTTAACATCTCTGTGCCATGCCAACATCTCTGGTTTTATCATTTGACCAAACTGTATAATAGTGATAATATCACAAAAGGTTATGGTGAGGATTAAATAAGATGTTAAATACTTAGAATAGAACCTGGTATTTACTAATTGTAATCCTTATGTATTAGCTGTTTTCTGTAAGTATAATGAAAATTATCTTTATTAATACCTTGTTCCAACTATGCCATCGCTGAATTTAGAGCATCTGCATCGTTCATCAAACATAAACTGAAGCCTAGTGTGATGGTGTGCGACACTTGGGAGGCTGAGGCAGGAGGATCGCTTGACCTTGCTAGTTCAAGTTTAATCCAGTTAACTTAGTGAAACTCTGTCTTTTAGAAAAACAAAACAAATACTGAGTGCTTGCTTTATGCTACACAGTTAAGTTTAGACCTGGGACTACAACAGTAGACTGTGGTGATAGATCCCTCCCTTCCATGAGAGTCTAGTTGGGAAGACAGGTAGTGTACAAATGAACATCTAAATACATAATGTGGCCAGGCGTGGTGGCTCATGCCTGTAATCCCAACACTTTGGGAGGCCGAGGTAGGTGGATCACCTGAGGTCAGGAGTTCAAGACCAGCCTCGCCAACATGGTGAAACCCCATCTCTACTAAAAGTACAAAAAATTAGCAGGGCGTTGTGGCAGGCATCTGTAATCCTAGCTACTAGAGATACTGAGGCAGGAGAATTGCTTGAACCCAGGAGGCAGAGGTTGCAGTGAGCTGAGCTCATACTATTGCACTCCAACCTGGGCAACAAGAGTGAAACTCCATCTCAAAAAATAATAAGTATATATATATATACAGACACACACACATACACATATATATATATACATGTAATATGACATCAGGTAGTGGTGAGTCCTCTGATTGGAACTGGGAACTAACACGGGGTGTTTGGGGTGGGGTGATGAGGGTGGGGGCTACACTGAGTAGAGAGCAGAATGAGGTGGGGAATGGGATGTGTAAGGAGCCAGAAGAGTCTCCAGGCAGAGGAACAGATGACTCAAATGTGCGTCCTGTGGGGCATGGCATTCCCTCTTGTGCCAGATTAATGTGGCATTCTGTGGGGCAGGCTTATGTGGAAATAGAATAAATGGGCTAACATAGAATAAATACCAAAACTCAACTGTGTCATCTTAGTGGGTTGGATTGAATAATGATTTGCTTTATTAGTATGAAGTAAATTTAATCCATATAAAGTTTATGTTTTGAATACAAATCTGTATAACCCAATTTGTGAATTACTGTTATTTTCCCCAGTTTTATATTATAAAAATATCAATAAGCATATTACTTCAAAGTTCTATGATATGCTAGTAGTAAACCTTTTTTCTCTCTCTCAGATACTCAATTTCATCAACACCAGAAAATCTGGGACGTTTTTCAGATGAGTAAAGGACCAGGTAATATTTTCTGTTTATAATTGAATGTTTGTATTTGATATTTTGGCTTGGACCCAGGAGGCAGAGGTGAGCTGAGATCGTACCACTGCACTCTAGCCTGGGTAACAGAGCGAGATGCCATATCAAAAAAAAAAAAA